ATGATTTAAATGTACTGAGCTTTGTGTAGAATTAATACTACAACTGAAAAATAGGTAAGCTTTCTAAAATGCTATGCAAAATTAATTTCTTATCAGTTTTTATACCCTGACCCATTGACGCCATCATTTTGTAAAAAACGCATTTCAAGTACTAGAGACTTGTGCTTTGGAATGTACACACATTTTAGCCATATGATCACGTTTTGAAAGTTTCATTAAGATTGTATGTCCACAAAACATATGGATTACGCCGATATGGCAAATGTTGCTATGAGTATAGCGTTCCACCCAACTACCTTAAAAAGGCAAATTATAAAAGCGACAATGGTGAAAATGACGAGCTGGTGGTCATAGATGAGATATTATCAGAATTAAATTAATAAAATTGACTTTTTATGAAAAAAAAACAGCACTGTTTTCTTTTTTGCTACTTTTTCAGCTATTTTAGAAGAAAGTTGGCTACTTCTAGCTACTTTCAGCCTTCGGTTTTGCTACTTTTGCTGAAAAAGTTTCGGCAACACTGTTCGTAACCCGACCCTAAAAGTGAGGAGCCGAGCAAATACGAAGTGGTCTGGGAACTAATGCTCGAAAGAAAGTGTGCAAAACGCTATACACTACTTGTCCGGTCTATGTGTTCTGTGGTTAGTGGTTATGCAAAGCGAACAGCTGATTTGACAGCGTGACGTCATTATTTCGGAAAATAGTGGGCGCGCGTTTGAATTTGTATGAAAATCAGGCAACTTTGACACTGTCTTAAAACTAGTTGACTAAATAAAACGAGCTGGGCGGCTAATCACATGTTCTATATAGATTCACGAATCGTAAAATATAAAGGTTTTTGCTAATTTTTATACTCTAAACCGTTTTCTAAGCAGTTATTGATCATGCAATCCCTTGACCACTTTTACTTTTGTATATAATGGATTTAACCTTACTATCTAATGCTTAAATTTGTAAAACTAAAGAGTTACTACTAAGTGTTATGCATTTCCCATCAATCCGCATCATTATATGTACTAATTTCATTCTTTATATTACAAATCCGATGGCCATAGATGATACGCAGCATTGTTAGCTTCTGTCTGGGTTTTAAGAGCTGATTCAGGCAGATTATGCGTTTCCTTAGGTTTCAATACTCATAATCATACAAGTTTACGACTTGACAATTAATACACAAATTTTATTTCCTTCCACTGGATGTTTTTGACATGACAGCAGGTGTGAGCAGCACCTTTATTGATGCAGCTGCAACGTGTACTATATTTGAATGTGTAGGTAAATTGGCATAAATTAACAATACTGATGGCAAGAATCCGGTTAACTATGTCCATCAACAATTCCTGCTGACTTATTGGCCATTTGGGCCATATCATTGCTGCATTCGAGAGGCTTTCCAGTTCATTTCATTGTATACTTAATTTCTTTATTTTATGGTAATAAAGTTAATGATTGACCACTTTGAAGTTATTGAAATTTTAAGCTATTGAAATTTCCTTATATATACTTAATTTTGGTTGTTTTCGACCACTTAGCCGATCTGTGCTGAAGCGCCTGCCAAGCTTCAGCCGGGACAACATAGGAAAATCTGATAATGTGACGCCACAAGAGTGCTGTTAGTTAACATTAAAAGTAACGGGACTGCTCTTTGCGTAACCTACTGTGTCTTTTAACAGTGGTATCTGTCTCACAAACCATGTAATTTTCGCGAGCCCAACAGATCATCTGTTCTGCGTAGTTTCGGCCTGACAACGCGACAGAGTGAGATAACTATAACATCTAGCAAAAACGTATTAGTATTGAGCGTGGTATGTATCCACTTGAGTATATTGAAGAAGAAGAGAAAAGTGACGCTCATTGATGTTGAAAACTCGAAAAAGAAAGGTCGCGTCATGTCAGATCCGAGAAAACGCAAGGCACGTGCTGCTGGGAAAATAAATGTGGAACCAGACGATAATGAATCTGCGACACATATGTACATACAATGGAGGACAAAAGTATAAGTTAGAGTTTTTGCAATGCGTTGTCAAAATACTTTTGTCCTCCATTGTACATATATAACAGAACCAGTGTTGCCAACTTTTGTTCAGCAAGAAAAGCTGTTTTTAGTGGGAAGATACTTTAAAAAAAAGCTGAAATTTTGTGAAAAAAATCGGACAAAAAAGCTGATGGTTTTTGCTTTAATTTGATTGATATTTAAATATATTTTTAGTAACTAGAAGTCATGGCTGCATTTCTTCAACCTGACCTTTAAATTGAGTAAGCATATCAATATTCATTTTATTGCGTAGTTATGTTTTTACAGTATTGACCTGACTAAAACTTTTCACCACTTGCGCGTTCGACCATGGCAAGGAAAGCAATGTCATTGCAAAAGTTGCCAAGTCCCTACATTTTTTATTTCCTCCCGAATTCTTATAAGCACACCTCTTACCCTAAACTATGTAGAGTCTTAAGAATTTCCCCATTGAACTGGGAGAATATTCTTATATTGGTGTTCAATACTTTCAATATTCTTTGAATAGAATAACTCTAGTATTGGAACGATACTATTTTTGTTTACTCGCAAGAAACAGCATTTTACATCATTTGAAAATTTGCCGGCAGCCTATTAATTAAAACATATTTAGTAAACACAAACTACTACTACTACTACATGTTATCAAATGAGTTGCATACATTCTTTTTAATTGCTTTATAATCAGAGCTTGCAAATGAGAGTTGAGCGTTTTTTCGTTTATTCTCTTTCTCGCATCATACCCAAAAAAAAATTGTGTAGACACGTCTCTCTCTGAGCGTCACTCTCTGTTTTCTTTAGCATCTGTTTCGCTCAGACGCAATGCGATCACTCATTCGTGTGACGCTCTCACATGAGTGTCGCGTAAAACTAACACGATTTTCCCTCACACAAAGCCTCTCAGCAAAAAACACTTTGACTAACAAACTCAGCAGAAAATGTTTTTGCCTTCGTGTGCATGTAAATACACGCATACATACATACAAAAAGAACGCAGCAATCGCGCGTGATTACCCATACAAACGCAACTTACCGTTACTTCTTTAACTCAAGCACACGATCAGTGTTTGACTTGAGGAAACGAAAACAGAAACAACTATCTCCCTCAGAGCGCGAGAGAGCTAAGCCAGACGCGACAAAAACAGTTTCTGTCTGAGTTTTTTTGACTGTGTCACTGAAAGACACTTTTTTGCAGACAACGAACAGTTATTTGCGAGCTATGTTTATAATATCTATTAGAGAATTTCAAGTTCGATATTCTTGCTCATATAAGTTATATTGAATAAAATATAAATCATATTTTAGTTCAGTTAGTTCCACTCTATTATCGGTTGGTTCATTCATAGAAAATTGACCTAATTAACTATTTAGTTTTAATTAAACTGCAATGACAAACACCACGATAAATCGCTACAAATGATGATAAATTGATCAGTAAAGAAAAAAGCGGAAAAAAGCTGATTTGGCAACACTGAACAGAACACAACAATCGCGTGTGATTACCCATACATCCGCAAAAGACAATTCATTTAACTCAAGCAAACTATCAGTGCTTGATTTGAGCGAAACGAAAACTGAAATAACTGTCTCGCTCAGAGCGCGAGCGAGCTAAACCATACGCGACAGAAACTATTTCTGTCTGTCTTTTTCTATTTTTATTGTGTGAGTGAAAGACACTTATTTGCAGACAACAAAAATCGATCACTACAATAAAAAAATAACTTAATAGTTTTTAGGTTTTAGCTTTTAAGTCAATTCAGCTCTTATCTTAAAATGTAATTTCACAAAATTGAAGTGTTCATTTAAGTTCAAATTTTTAAGGCTAAGAATCACTGTTTTTTATTGCGACTATCGACCACTATCGATGGTTTGGAAATTACTATTGTCCTCAATCGATGGAGCCCATCATCGATAGTTTGGTACCTCTAGTGTGCATGTGTTATTTTTTATTCATTCATGCGTTTCAAATATTTTATGTAAGTCTGTTTTTTATTTTTCATAGTCTGGAATATTCTCTTCAATACTCTGGATTAAATTGAACAAAAATGAGATATATACTATACCTTTCAAACAACTGTTAACCTTTTTTATACCCTGAACCCATTTTCAATGGGAAATCAGAGTATAATGGTTTTGTTGAAATGTATGTAACAGGCAGAAGGAGGCGTGGCAGACCCCACAAAGTATATATATTCTTGATCAGGGCGACGAGCTGAGTTGATTTGGCCCTGTCCGTCTGTCTGTCTGTCCGTCAGTCCGTCTGTCCGTATGTTTGAACGCGTCGATTTCCGAAGATATAAGAGCTAGAGACTTCAAATTTTTTTTAAAATGTCCGTAATTACAGCGCGGATATAGAGTTTATCATTAAAAATCGATAACTCATCCCGATATTTTTTATCGATAAAAAACCTTATCGAAAACCAGTTATAAAATTTTATCTCTACACCTTTATTGCTAGACTCTCCAAATTTTTAATGTATGCTTATATGCAATTTATGCAATTTCGGGTTTTGTTAAAATTTACCCCCACCCCTATATTCACCCCCTCACCATCACTTTTGTAAAAGGCGTATTTCAAATACTAGAGACTTGTGCTTTAGCAAATACATGCATATCCATGTTATAATCATCGTACATCCACAAAAAAAGTTATTAAACAATTAAGTTCTCATAGTAAGCGCACACTGCGCCCATGCGTGTTTATGCTTGTGTGTGTATGTGTTTGTGTATGTGTGTATAAATGTTTGTGAATGTGTGTGTTTATGTGTGTGTGTGTGCGTGTTTCTTGTGTAAGCTGAAGGACGCGAAAAATTATTGAAATAGCTATTACTCCAAGGGTTCAGGGGATCTCGTAGTCGAGCAGTCTCGACTAGAGCTTTCTTACTTGTTTTAATATATTATATAAGTATAATTTGTCTTTGTAAAAAATACTTCGAAAATATTATTATTATTAGAATGCTATTATTTTGAATGAATTATTATACAGGCTAATAACACAAGTCTTGCGGCTTACAAAGAACTGTCTTAGCTTCGACTTTATTGGTAGTTCCACCGACGAGTCAGCAGATGATATGAACAATGTCCAGGTAAGTTACTTTTTAAAAGCTGATTAAAATATGATCAATATCCGTCAACTCACAGATACCAACAGCTTGGCGTCCTGCATTTCTTGATGCAAACACATTAAAATTATTTTTTGACTTATATCAAATATTACCAAATGGCTTAGCCAGTTATTCACTGTCGTGCCTAGTACAAATGACATCCGTACGTCGATCTTTATTTAGTAACTCAGAAAGAACGAAATTTCTCACAAATTTGGTAGAAGGTGTCAAAAATATTCTCAAAAATTTGCATGTAAGTTAGTTATATATATATATATTTAACAGTGCTACTTAAAAACTTTTACTTCAGGGTCTAAGCGATCCAGATAATTATCATGAATTTTGTCGATTGCTAGCACGTTTGAAGTCCAATTACCAACTTGGAGAGCTCATAGCCGTTCCTTGTTACCCCGAAGCCATAGAATTGATAGCAAAGTTTACCGTACAATCATTACATGTGAGTATATTTTTGGTAGTAAGTTTTTAAAAATGGACATTGTTAATGTTCACAGATGTGGCTCTTTGCTCCAAATAGTGTGCACTATTTACTTACCTTATGGCAGCGTATGGTCGCATCAGTACCGTATGTGAAATCGCCGGATCCGCACTTACTTGGCACGTACACACCTGAAGTTATTAAGGCGTATATAGAGTCTCGTCTAGATGCTGTGACGTTGATTGTACGTGATAATATGGAGGATCCATTAGACGATCTTTGTATGGTGCAACAACAACTTGAGCAGTTATCGGTAATCGAGCGCTGCGAATATAATAAAACTTGCAATCTTCTTGTACAGCATTTCGACCAAAAGGCCCGAGAATACGAAAATCTCTTGCAGACACATAATTCAAGCCCCATAGATATTACGGTTCATGAGTTACAGCTGACATGGTTGGTTTACATAATTGGTTCGGCTATTGTTGGAAGACTTTCTGTTACTACCAGTGATGAGCACGATAATATGGATGCAGAGCTTGTTATTCGTGTATTGCAGCTAATGAGTTTAACTGACTCACGTCTACCTCAAACTGGTTGCGAAAAGCTAGAACTGGCCATTTTAAGCTTTTTAGACCAAGTTCGTAAAATGCATAGCAGTGATCAGGCTCAAAAGGCAACTGTTTATAAACGACTCAACGAAGTCTTTGGACTAAATGATGAGCAAATGTTGCTTAGTTTTATTAACCGCAAAATGTATGTATTTTCTATTAATATGGTAATAGCTAATAACTTTTAACCCTTCCAGTATTACAAATCTTAAATTTTGGGGCCGCTCTGAGCAAATAATTACAAAAACTTTAGTTTTATTATCCGATCTCTCTGTGCATTTTAATTCAGTGCGAAAATTAGCGCGTCTAGAAGAAGTACAGTTTATGTTAACACATCACACAAGCGAACACTTTCCTTTTCTTGGTACGAGCTCTTCCCTGAACGAAATGCGTTGCCGTACAATGTTTTATACATCTCTAAGTAGGTTACTAATGTTTGATTTGGGAGAAGATGAAGAACGTTTCTATAATTTTCTTACTCCGCTTACAAGTAAGTCGATTTTTGAATTATTATTAATTATCAAGAATATAATAAATTATGCAATTTTACAGATCAGTTTGAATCACTTGGAAATGTGTTAATGGATACAAAATGCTTTCCTAATGAAGAGGTCAAAAAGGCAATTATTGGGCTAGCTCGGGACCTACGCGGCCTAGCATTACCGCTTAATGCTCGCATTCAATATACAATGCTTTTTGAATGGCTGTATGTGTATTCATTATATATTTTCATTTCAATATCTATTTATATATTTTTGCCTGTAGTTATTATACGGATTACTTACCTATACTGCTTCGTGCAGTTGAATTGTGGGCTCATGAACCTGCCATTACTACGCCTGTGTTAAAGCTATTTGCTGAATTAGTGCATTGTCGAACCCAGCGTCTAGCAGGAAATGTGTCTAGCCCTATGGGAATTTTACTTTTTCGTGAGGCTTCAAAACTTATTTGCATATATGGCAATCGTATTTTACATCTAGAAGTAACAACTGATCAACTTTACCCGATGAAATTGAAGGGGATATCAATATGCTTCTTAATCTTAAAAAATGCGCTTGGAGGGAACTATGTGAACTGTGGCGTGTTTAAATTATACGGTGATGATACATTACATAACGTACTTGATATCATTGCCCAACTTATTCTCTCTATACGACAAAGTGATTTATTGGTAAGAATTATAACAACAAAAACATAAAGAAATGAAAATAAAGTAAACTAAAAATTATTAGGAGTATCCAAAATTGGCATCGGCATATTACAATTTGTTAAATTGTTTGTCTCAAGATCATGTAACGTACCTTACCGCTTTGGAACCACGAGCATTTGTATATATATTGGAGAGTTTGAACAAGGGCCTTGCAGCGTTAGGTACTCATAATTAGTTTTTACATTTACAATTATTATTAATTTAATTTATATTTTTAAACTTTCAGATTCGGCAATTTACATAAGCTGCTGTACAATTTTGGACAGTATTGTTTCGTACATATTTAAGCAGCTACAATTAAAAAGTAAAGATAAATATAAATGTGAATAAATATGTCTTCAGTGTTATTTAACCAAATTTATGTTGCAGCTTCAACATTCCCAAATAAAAAGCTACGAAGTTTGTCACGAGAAAACACTCAATTTCTTAAGGTGTGTATTTTTATACTCTAAATCCATTGAAACTCATCCCATTTCTTTTTATCGAGAATAATCGATAAACTGATTTCGTTTTATAAGCCAAATTTAAATACTATAAAACCTAAAGATTTCAGACTTACTGTGTATATCCATTTGATGAATACGAACATTTGGTAATTCTCCCAATTCGCCCCCAAGTTGATGAAAGAGTATTTCCAGTACTAGACTCTTGTGCTTTTAAATATTGGAATATTTTAATCACTAAAAGAAACATTATTCAACAAATAAACTCTCATAATGTTGCCCATACCGCAGTGCAAGTGCAGTCGCTGTTAACTGCGTTTGTTTTAAGAAACTCGATAAATTATTCCAATTTGATATTATCGATATAATCTTATAGAAATTCATTTAAAAAACAAGTAAGAAGACTCTAGTCGAGACTGCTCGACTAGGAGATACCCTGAACCCTCTAATTTGATATTCTAATCACTCTGCACTTCTTTTCGGCATACATACATACACACACACGTATTAGAACGCGCTCTACTAACTCCGGAGTAAGCAGCGACTGCGCTAAGGCTTTTAATCGATAATAAAATATCAGGAGTAGTTATCGATATAAAAAGAAAAACTTGATATGCGCGTGATATACATGGACCTAGGAGAAATAATTTCAAGTCTCTAACTTTATATCTTCTGAGATCGACGCGTTCATACATACGGATGGACGGACGGACGGACGGACAGACAGACGGACAGGGCCAAATCGACTCAGCTCGTCGCCCTGACCAAGAGTATATATACTTTGTGGGGTCAGCCACGCCTCCTTCTGCCTGTTACATACTTTTAACAAAACCATTATACCTTGATTACATATTTTCAATGGGTTCAGGGTATAATTATATACAAGGGAGGACAAAAGTATTTTGACAACACATGGCAAAAACTTAAACCGCTTATTTCTGCGTGCTGAGAGAGGTAACGGTACCCATTATATTTTTTAGAGAGAGCAAACATACTAGGCTTTAAGTGACCAAAATATTGCATTGATGACATGCCTCATTATTTTTCTATAATTATTTGAATGGCGGATTATCATTATTTGGGTAGACAAAAGTATTTTGATATTCCCTTTCAAATTCATTTTCGGTAATTTGCTTGGATTCAAAAATACATATTTTTATTTTTATACCCTGAACCCATTGAAAATGGGAAATCAGGGTATAATGGTTTTGTTAAAAGTATGTAACAGGCAGAAGGAGGCGTGGCAGACCCCACAAAGTATATATATTCCAGATCAGGTCGACGAGCTGAGTCGATTTAGCCCTGTCCGTCCGTCCGTCCGTCCGTCCGTCCATCCGTATGTATGAACGCGTCGATTTCAGAAGATATAAGAGCTAGAGACTTGAAACTTTTTTTCCTAGGTCCGTGTATACCACACGCATATCAAGTTTTTCTTTATATATCGATAACTAATCCCGATATTTTATTATCGATTAAAAACCTTATCGAAAGCTAGTTATTTAATTATATCTCCTACACCTTTAGAGCTAGAGCTTCCAAATTTTAAATGTAGACTTATATGTATTTTATATAATTTCGATTTTTGTTGTAATTTACCCCCCACCCCTATATCCACCCCCTCACCCTCACCTTTGTAAAAGGCGTATTTCAAGTACTAGACGTGTGCTTTAGAATGTACACACATTTTCACCATATGATTACGCCCTGAAAGTTTCATTAAGATTGTACATCTAGAAATTAAATTATTCAACAAATAAATTCTTATAATGTTGCCCACACTACAGCGCAGCCCAAGCGCAGTCGCTGCTTACTGCGCAGTTAGCAGAGCGCGTTCTACTACGTGCGTGTGTATGTATGTGTATCGAAAAGAAGTGCAGACTGATTAGAATATCAGATTAGAGGGTTCAGGGTATCTCCTAGTCGAGCAGTCTCGACTAGAGTCTTCTTACTTGTTAAATTTATTTTTGGTGTCCTCTTTAATAATTTTTTATCATAGTTTTCGGTAACTTATGTGCAAACAATGTGATAAAGTGAAATCATTAAAAAACAAGTAAGAACGTTGCAGTCGGCCGTTACCGACTGCGGAATACTCATTCACATCCCATCCCCAGCAATTTAGTAGTTAAGTTTCGCTCTAATACTGTAAAAAATGCATTTTTGGTCAGTTCTTAGAACGAGATAACGGTACCCTAACTGCAAAGTTTGAATGCTTACCTTCAAAAAATATTAAAAATACAGGGTATTTTCGATATGCCACGCGCCTAAAGAGGCGTAAAAATTACTTTTGGGTCATCGATAAAGGAGGTTACTAGTAACTTAACTATCTAAATTTGAAGCTTCTAGCTATTATACTTCAGAAGATATCAACTTTTGCGGTTTGCCACGCCCCTGTGGGCGGACATATATCTGACAAAACTTTTTGGTCTTGGGTGATCAGTCCGAGTATATATACAAAATTTGAGGTCTCTGGCATCAATAGTGGCTAAAATATAGCAGAATTTAAAAAGATCACTATATCTTCAGGTCCAATTTGCCACGCCCCTAATGGGCGTAGACATAAATTCTTATACCCTGAACCTATTTTCAATGGGAAATCAGGGTATAATGGTTTTGTTAGATGTATGTAACAGGCAGAAGGAGGCGTGGAAGACCCCATAAAGTATATATATTCTTGATCAGGGCGACGAGCTGAGTTGATTTAGCCCTGTCCGTCCGTCCGTCTGTCCGTATGTTTGAACGCCTCGATCTGAGAAGATATAAGAGCTAGAGACTTGAAATTTTTTCCTAGGTCCGTGTATAGCACGCGCATATCGAGTTTAGCGTTAAATATCGATAAATTGCCCCGTTATTTTCTTATCGATTAAAAACATTATCGAAACCCAGTAATAAATTTTTATCTCTTACATCTCTAAAGCTAGAGTCTCCAAATTCTAAATGTATACTTATATGCATTTCATACAATTTCGGTTTTTGTCACAATGTAACCCCCACCCCTAATTCACTCCTCACCCTCACGTTTGTAAAAGGCGTACTTCAAATACTAGAGACTTGTGCTTTGGCAAAATACATACATATCCATGATATAATCATAATCTGAAAGTTTCATGAAGAAACTACATTCAAAAAAGTTATTGAGCAAGTAAGTTGCCTTAGTAAGCCACCACTGCAGCCATTGCGTGTTTATGCGTGCATGCGTATCTCTGTGTGTGTGCGTGTGTGTGTGTGTGTGTGCGTATGATGTGTGTGTATATGCCTGTGTGTATAAGCGGGCGTGTGTGTGTGTGTGTGTGTGTGTATTGTGTAAGCAGAAAGATGCGAAAAATGATTGAAACAGCTCGAAGGGCTCAGGAGATCTCGTAGTCGGGGACTCTCGACTAGAGCTTTCTTACTTGTTGCCTTTAGACTATATGGAATCATAACATTAACAGACGTGCAAAATTTCAGCGCTCTAGCTGTAAGGCCCTTGGTGATGCAGTTTTATCCGATTTTCCACGCCCCCAATGTGAGGAGATATATCCGCCATAGCTCGTGATCTTGGGTGGTCGATGTGGATCTATATTCCAGAGCTTTCTAGCTCTTCAATTAATATGATTTCTGGCATATCGGTAAATGCAATTTTCGATTTGCCACGCCCCTAGTGGGCGCATCGGGAAAGTTTTAACAGTTTATAAATCGGAGATACACACGAGTATGTATTCCAAATTTCAAGTCTCTAGCTTCAATAGCGACGAAATAGATTTTCCTAAAAGTCATGTCGATCAAACTCAAAAATAATCAGAAATTATTAATAAGCAGAAAAACTATCACAAGTCGGCGAAAGAAGGCCAATTTTTCTACGTTATAGATCTGCCAATACTCTTAATATCACTATAAAATAAACTAAAAAGGTATCTTTTGCTAAAACCGTCATAGGCAAGCCGTAATTCTCCTGGGGAAAAGTATTATGGATGGACAATAGTTCCTTTGAGAACCCTGGATTTAAAAAAAAAAAAAAAAAAAAAAAAAAAACAGTTTTAGCAGGTTGCCAAAGAATATTTGCAAAAAAAGAGGCCTATGTACCAACGTGGTGAAGAATCGGTAATGCTCTGGGAGCTCGCATGTGTCAATAGCCTCTCCAATTTGATATTAATTAATGAAAAAATTAAGAGGGATAATTATTTACGTGTCCTGAATGACCACTCATGGAATTCCGGTTACCGGCTCATTGGAAAATCATATATACTGCAGCAGGACGATGCTCCATGCCACAAGGTCCATATTATAACTGAATTTTCTGGGAATATTGAAGTCAATACATATGGTTGGCCACCTCAGCGCTCTGATCTCAATATTATAGAGAATGTGTAGGCTTACGCAAAAGTAAAACGTAGCTTAGACTTATCAAGAACGCCCAACATTACAAGCATTGCAAAATTTGGTTAGATCGATCCCTAGACGCTTGCATATATTAAAGGAGGGTTTAATTCTTATTTACTATTATTTTTGTTACTATTAGCATTGTTAAGTTTTTGTCTCACTTTATTTAATAAATATTAATGTCAAAATACTTTTGTCCACCCAAATAATGATAATCCGCCATGCAAATAATTATAGAAAAATAATGAGTCATGTCATCAATGCGATATTTTGGTCACTTAAAGCCTAGTATGTTTGCTCTCTCTAAAAAATATAATGGATATCGTTAGCTCTCTCAGCACGCGGTTAGAGTTTTTGCAATGTGTTGTCGAAATACTTTAATACCGGGATATAATCCCGTATCTATTGAAAATGGGAAATCTGGCTATATTGGTTTTGTAATACACTGCGCGTCATCAGGTTAGCACCCCCTTTACACTCAATCTCAAAGCTGAATAAAAGCTAAACCATCAGAGCTTCATTTTTAAATTTTTATATCCTGAACCCATTTTCAATGGGAAATCAGGGTATAATGGTTTTGTTAAATGTATGTAACAGGCAGAAGGAGGCGTGGCAGACCCCATAAAGTATATATACTCTTGATCAGGGTGACGAGCATCGACTCAGCTCTGTCCGTTTGTCCGTATGTTTGAACGCGTCGATCTCAGAAGATATAAAACTTAGAGACTTGAAATTTGTTTTCCTAGGTCCGTGTATAGCACGCGCATATCGAATTTTGTTTTAAATATCGATAGCTTGCCCCGTTATTTTATTATCCATTAAAAACATTATCGAAAACCAGTAATAAATTTATATCTCCAAATTTTTATGTATACTTAAATGCATTTTATACAATTTCGGTTTTTGTCAAAATTTACCCCCCACCTCTAATTCACCCCCTCACCCTCACATTTGTAAAAGGCGTATTTCAAATACTAGGGACTTGTGCTTTGGCAAATACATGCATATCTATGTTATATTCATAATCTGAAAGTTTTATGAAGATAGTCCATATGCATGTGTATGTGTGCATATGCGAATAATTTTTGAAATTTAACAAAAATTTGGTCATCAGATTAGCGCTCCCTGCGATAAATTCAATTTATTTATGTAAATGACCAAAAATAACACGTGTATATTAAGCTATTATTTTTAAGTAATATTAGTAGTGCATAGTGCTTTTTTTTTATACCCTGAACCCATTTTCAATGGGAAATCAGAGTATAATGATTTTGTTGAAATGTATGTAACAGGCAGAAGGAGGCGTGACAGACCCCACAAAGTATATATATTCTTGATCAGGGTGACGAGCTGAGTCGATATAGCCCTGTCCGTCTGTCCGTATGTTTGAACGCGTCGATTTCCGAAGATATAAGAGCTAGAGACTTAATTTTTTTTTAATGTCCGTAATTACAGCGCGGATATCGAGTTTATCATTAAAAATCGATAACTCATCCCGATATTTTTATCGATAAAAAATATAAAGTTGTTCAAGGACTATACTATAATGGATTCATATATTTTCCTGACCAACCATCCTCAGACGTTTCCAATGATATTAATGTCAAGTGAGGATGGCGACCACTCCATGTATTTTTTTTTTATTCTGGTTCGTTAAGTAATTAACTTTCTTAATTACTCTTTGGACCGTTGAAAAGCTCGTCTTAACAACGATTTTACCCCTAATCTTGGTGGTTGATTCGTGGGAATTCGAAGCTTCCCGAACTAATGCTCTTCTATTTCCATCTGAAATCACTTGATTATTGCCGCTTATATAGTTTTTTCCATAGTTTTCCCAATTTTATGGTAGCATAGTCCAGATTCAAAGTATGCCCCAATCTTTGATTTTCAACCAAAGATAAAACTGTTTCTTTACCCATATATTGAGTACTTTGAGCTTCACAAAAAATTTGGTGAGTGTAATTCCCAAAATAAGCAAGATAATTACAATTGCGCTAATCTGATGACGCAAAATAAGTGCACGCATTCTTTGCGAAAGTAAAGAATAGAAAACAAGTAGGAACGTTGCATTCGGGCGTTACCGACTGCGGAATACTCATTCACATCCCATCAACAATATAGTAGTTAAGTTTCGCTCTAATACTGTAGAATATACAGGTTTTTCCGATTTGCCACGCCCCTACTGGGCTTAGACACCTCATTTTTGGTCAGTTCTAAGAACGTGATAACGGTACACTAACTGCAAAGTTTGAAAGATTACCCTCAAAAAATGTGAAAATTACAGGGTATTTTTCGATATGCCACGCGCCTAAAGAGGCGTAAAAATTACTTTTGGGTCATCGATAGATGAGGTTACTGGTAACTTAACTATCTAAATTGTAACCTTCTTGCTATTATACTTTAGGAGATATAAACTTTTGCGGTTTGCCACGCCCCCTGTGGGCGGACATATGTATATCCGACAAAGCTTTTTGGTCTTAGGTGATCAGCGCGAGTATATATACAACATTTGAGGTCTCTGGCATCAATAGTGTCCAATATATAGCAGAATATATATCTATATATATTATTTATATATATATTATACATATATCTTATATCTTTAGGTCTGATTTGCCACGCCCCTGATGGGCGTAGACTTATAATATTGTGTTTAGACTTTATAGAATTATAACATTAGCTGACGAGCAAAATTTCAGCATTCTACAACTTTAGGAGATACAGTTTTATCCGATTTGCCACGCCCCCAAAGGGCGGAGATATATCCGCCATAGCTCGTGATCTTGGGTGGTCGACGCGGACTTACATACCAAATTTAACTTTCTAGCTCCGTAACTAACATGATTTCTGGTATATCAGAAAATGCATTTTCCGATTTGCCACGCCCCTAGTGGGGGGATCGGGAAAATTTTAACACTTTATAAATCGGAGATATACACGAGTATGTGTTCCAAATTTCAAGTCTCTAGCTTCAAAAGCGCCGAAATAGATTGCGTTCATACGGACAGACGGACAGACGGACGGACGGACAGACGGACAGACGGACATTGCACAAAACCAATGTACTGATAATATATTATTAAATAAATATTTAATTAAAATTCATACATTTGAATATTTTACTTAATATTATTAGGTAGTTGAACTAAATTCTGAGTTGCTACAGAACATGATGTCTTCACTGTTAAACAATGTGTTGGCTGAAGATTGTCGAAACCAATGGTCCATGTCTCGCCCATTATTGGTACTTATATTACTTTACGAAGATTTTTATCGGTAAATAAAACATAAAAATTTCAATAATGTTTTTGATTTGATAATTATTTTAATAATTATTATTATTTCTTTAGCTCTTTGAAAGAAAATATTATACGTGGACAACCCATCGAAAAGCAGCAGACGATGGCACAGTGGTTTGAAGATTTGATGCTTGGTATTGAGCGTAATGTGTCCAGTAAAAACAAAGAAAAGTAAGAAGCAACACAATTTATGAAATTTTAAACCTTAAACTATGAACCGTTATACATGCTGTATGTTTGAATGTATGAAAAAAGCAAAAGGAGACGTAACAGATCCCACAAAATATTTTTGATCAGGTCGACAAATCGAGTCGATTTAGTCCGAACCGTCCGAATATATGAAGAGAATAAGAATATTTTTGTAAGTCCGTGTCTTGTACGCGTATTTCGAATTTGTTAAAAAAAACTCATATTTATCGCTCAGTTTGCCGATTATCAAAATTGTTTAAGCTTTAACTAAAATTTTGGTGGAGTATTTTTCTATCTGACTATTGGTTTCAGTTGGTTACTTCATTTAAGATTTAAAACTTGGATTATTAGTCGGGAGAGTGCTTGAATATTCAATAAATATTTTTTTATCATTCTAAGGTTTACACAGAATTTATCTACTTTTCGACGAGATGTTGCTAACCTACCAAAATCAACAACATATTCGACAGGTATGTATAAAATCTTCAATATAAAGGAAATCTACTTTTTAGCTATAAAAAGTCGGAGACTATGAGCACGCTGATCTCAGAGGCCATATAAATCAAAATTAAATCTCATTAAAAAAATAAAAATGAAAATAACAAGTAAGAACGTTGCAGTCGGGAGTTACCGACTCCGGAATACTCATTCACATCCCATCAACAATTTAATAGTTAAGTTTCGCTCTAATACTGTAGAATATACAGGTTTTTCCGATTTGCCACGCCCCAACTGGGCGTAGACACCTCATTTTTGGTCAGTTTTTAGAAAGAGATAACGGTACCCTAACTGCAAAGTTTGAATGCTTACCCTCAAAAAATGTGAAAATTACAGAGTATTTTTTGATATGCCACGCCCCTAAAGAGGCGTAAAAATTCTTTTTGGGGAATCGATAGAGGAGGCTACCAGTAACTCAACTATCCAAATTTGAAGCTTCTAGCTATTATACTTCAGGAGATATCAACTTTTGCGGTTTGCCACGCCCCCTGTGGGCGGACATATATCCGACAAAACTTTTTGGTCTTGGGTGATCAGTCCGAGTATATATACAAAATTTGAGGTCTCTGCCATCAATAGTGTCCAAAATATAGCAGAATTCGAAAAATCACTATATCTTCAGGTCCGATTTGCCACGCTCTTAATGGGCGTAGACTTATAAAGTCTTTCGACTTTATAGAATCATAGCATTAGCTGACATGCAAAATTTCAGCATTCTAGGTTTACAACTTTAGGAGATACTGTTTTATCCGATTTGCCACGCCCCCAATGGGCGGAGATATATCCGCCACAGCTCGTGATCTTGGGTGGTCAACGCGGACCTACATACCAAATTTCAGCTTTCTAGCTCTTCAAATAACATGATTTCTGGTATATCGGAAAATGCATTTTCCGATTTGCCACGCCCCTAGTGGGCGGATCGGGAAAATTTTAACACTTTATAAATCGGAGATATACACGAGTATGTGTTCCAAATTTCAAGTCTCTAGCTTCAATAGCGCCGAAATAGATTGCGTTCATACGGACAGACGGACAGACGGACGGACAGCAAGACGGACATTGCACAAAACCAATATACTGATTCACTTTCGTGAATGAGTATAAAAATCTCCAAAATTTATTCTACTCTTTTTAACCCATTTAAAAAGTAAAGCTAGTTGGTTTCCAAAAATTGATAACTTTTCCAGATTAAGCATTGTCGTCTAAAAACCTTTTCAAAATAGCTAGAGCTTGCGAGAAATTTTTTGATCTTCCGATTTTACATCTATCTCAGTTTGTCAAGAAATATTTTACACACTACGAAAAACTATATTTTATGCTTTAGATGCAAATATGTAAGCCATTTATTAAAAAAAAGTGTTTTTTTTTTTTTTTTTTTTTTTTTTTTGCAATTTTAATACAATTTTTTAGTTTTAATTATAACAAGTAAGAAAGCTCTAGTCGAGACTGGTCGACTAAGAGATCCCCTGAACCCTTCGAGCAACTGATATTTCAATAATTATTCGCACATGCACAAACATATGCGCACACACAGCCATACGCACGCATAAACACGCATTGGCTGAAGTGGCGGCTTACTATGGAAACTTAATTGTTTAATAACTTTTCTTGTGGATGGACTATCTGATAATGAAACTTTCAGATTATGAATATAACATATCATGCATGTATTTGCCAAAGCACAAGACCCTAGTATTTGAAATACGCCTTTTACAAATGTGATGGTGAGGGGGTGAATTAGGGGGGGTGGTTCAATTTTGACAAAAGCCGAAATTCCATAAAGTACACATATGTCTACATTAAAAAATTTGAGACTCTAGCTTTAAAGATGTAGGAGATATAAATTTATTACTGGTTTTCGATAATGTTTTTAATCGATAACAAAATAACGGGACAAGTTATTAATATTTGAAGCAAAACTGGATATCCGCGTGGTATGCACGGACATTTTACAACAAAATTGAGCTCTATAGCTCTTATATTTTGTGAAATCGACGCGTTCAAACATACTGACAGACGGACAGACGGACGGACGGACAGACAGACGGACAGGGCTAAATAAATCCGCTCGTCGCCCTGATAAAGAATATACATATGTATATACTTTGTGGGGTCTGCCACGCCTCCTTCTGCCTATTACATACATTTCAACAAAACCATTATACCCTGATTTCGCATATTTAATGGGTTCAGGGTATAAAAATATATTTCAAGATTCAAATAATATTAGGAGCTGAACTATCACTTAGATACAGGAAAAAATAGTTATAAAGGATGAAAACATAGCCTTACTAACTACAATTGGAAAAGCAATACCCTTGTGTATTCTTTATATAATAAATCTACAAATTTTCACCAAGCACGATGGGCGATTTTATTGTAATACGGTATTATTTGATTAGTTTTTTTTTTTTTTTTTTTTTTTTTTTTTTTTTTAATAGTTTGATCACGTTTAGACTTGGAGACTTTACTGTGTATCAGAGAACTGCAAGTGTGTCAATTTTTGCCACCTTACTCACACTCAATAAAATTTGTGTGCCGGTGTCACTCATTATTGGTTCAGCAAATCATAAATACACACTTATGAAAAATATCTTGCTTTCCTTCTTTTGGCTTGTCACCCAAGTATTTTTCGTCAACGCTTGCCGGTCGCATTTACAGCGAACGTAGAAAAAAAGCGAAAGTGTGAAAAGAGCAATGGGCAAAAATACAAGTAGACAAATCACATGTACATATGTCACCCAAGTGTTTTACAGGCACCATGGTGTGTGTGTTAAAGTAACGGTTCTTTTGATTTTGCACTAGCTCCTTTTTTAGCTTCCTAGTCTATATTGTGTTTCATGTTGTTAATTAAATAGATGCAGTGAAGCATTATAATGTTTATTTTATATATTATATGAATGTAAAAGAAGTTATTTTTGATTTCAATATTGTTTTTTGTTTTCTATTTGTTTCTCTTTGCACGCATTTCCATCAGCAAGTACGTAAATAAGTACGTGACAAACAAGTCAACCGAAGGCGTGCATAAAAGAAACCTCAACAAAGGCGACACACACACATTGTATGTCTCAATTTTTGTGTATCTCTTTTCACCCAACCTTCTTTTGACGCTCAATCGCCGGCATATGCCACACACACATATGCAAAAAAACTACCTACTTACTTTTGCAGCTTGTGTGTACAAACACTAAAATATTTTTGTGAGGCGAGTAATTGTACGCATTTGTGCGGTGGTTGAAAACACCCGGGTGACAAAATAACCCAACATTTACCGGGTGCACCTTAAGTGCCGGTGGCTTGTTGCAGCTCTCTGCTGTGTATATACATATGATGATTACAAACATTGTGTAGCTTATAGATTTTGGACACTCTGCCCCATTCGCCCCCAATTTGTAAAACACGTATTTCAAGTATTAGCGACTTGTGCTTTGGAATGTACACACATTTTACCCTTATGATTACGCTCTGAAAGTTAAGATAAAGATAGTCCATCCACAAATGACATTATTCAACAAATAAATTCTTAAAATATCGCCCACACTGCCGCGCAGCCCAAGCGCAGTCGATGCTTAATGCGCAGTCAGCAGAGCGTGTGCTTATACGTACGTGTGGATGCATGTGTATGTGTGCCGAAACGAAGTGCAGAGTGATTAGAATATCAGATTAAAGGGGTTCAGGGTATCTCCTAGTCGAGCAGTCTCGACTAGAGTCTTCTTACTTGTTTTCTTTTTTTTATTTAAACTAAAAATTTATTAAATAGCTTTTAAATTGATTTTATATTTGCACCCATAGTCAAAAAATATATATTTTTCGTAGTGTGTAAAGTGTTTCTTAACAAAGTGTATAAACTGTACATAATATTAAACACTTAGCATACAAGATATATGTTCCTATAACATACATAGCTCAAATGGCAGCCCATGTGCCGTATTAACCGTACAGTTAGCAGAGCTCGTGCTTATGAGTGCATGCGTATGCATAGAAGGCGCGAATATAAGTTCTGCGAAAGATTTTGTAGACGAGCAATCTCTACTAATATATATATAAATACATACATATGTATATATTTTATTATGTTTAGTGCAGTGGGTTATTTTAATTTTTATTTGAACAAAATTTTTCCTTCTGATTCTTTTCAGACAATTCATACCAGGTCTACACTGAAACAAATTACTCAATATCGGTATAAATAGTGGAACACAATTATCTTGTCTACTGGCTAAACCTGTCAACGAGTTGTTTTAACACAATTTATATTCTTATATTTACAAAAAAAAATTATAAAGTACGCATAAAAAAACAAATTATATAATGATTTATATTTTTCTAAACTAGTTTGAAATGTATAGAATTTTAAAGAATGTCATCTATTAAAATATACCATGCAAGAAAAGTCTTAGTACGACCACTAACCACTAACGCATACCACTAACCACAGAACACATAGACCGGACAAGTGGTGTAAAGCGTTTTGCACGCTTTTTTTGAGTGTTAGTTCCCAGACCACATCGTATTTGCTCGGCTGAGTTTTAGGTTCGGGCTACGAAAATATACGAAAGCACAATCAATTCGCTTCATGCGCTCGGCCGAGATGGTCGACTGTTGAACAAAAGATCCCTCTACGCTGAATGTTTCCCTTTCTCGCTCTCTCTCTCGATGCTCTCTCAAATATGTATATGTATGTACAGTGTACCAATAATTCTTCGTACAGCAGCATATTTTTTCTTTGAGAACGAATAAGACATACAGTCTGTCAAGAATGAGTTGGCACATTGAAAAAAAATTTAATTTTTTGACTTTGGATGCAAATATCTAAGTCATTAATGCATAAAAACAATTTTTTTCAAATAGGAATGTGTTTAATATTTCATTAATTGAAATAGAGAAATAGAAAACATAACAATCAATCACTTGCCACAGTTGTAAAGCAGCCAAGTGCGAACATTAATTTCGTTGTCGGATCATTGTCCAAATAAAATTTTAAATTTGGCTTGTTGCCATTCATAAAGCCAAATTTAGCCGCACTCGCTCTCAAATTTGTTTTCAAAATTTGGAGGTACTGCTCCGCATTCATTGTGCTTTCAATGAATGCAATCTCGCCGACTCCTTTGGTCGATATACACTAGACGTCTGCATGATTACATTCATAACAAAGCCACATTGAGTACATTCGAATTGAGTAGAATATGAGCGAGTGAAAAGGACAGAATGAGACGAATGTGTATACTACTGTTTCGCAAGACGAACATGTTGTGTCTCATGCCGAATGACTGAGTATAACGAAAGAAGAGCAAAGTGAAATGAAAACTTTGAAAACACTCGAACTACTCAAGTAGTTCGATGAATATTTTGTGTATTCATTTTGTGCTTTGAGAAATTGTGAGCAGACGTGCGAAATGGAAGCGGAACCTGCAGGAAAAAATTTATGTATTTTTCGGCAAATACCAGCGTGTTGTTTTTGTGTTTTGTTTTGTTTAAAGCTTGTGTTTTAGCTTTACTAACAAAATGTGTAGTTGTGACCGTCTATATATGTTTTCTGTGTTGATATTTGCAGATTTAATATTTATTTAATTTAATTAATTAATTATTTAATTACAGAAAAGCAATGTTCAATAGCTTCCAACCCTGATAGAATTAATAAAATTATGTTTTTAAATTCGAATATTATTAATTAATTATTTGAAATAAATATATAAGTTAAAAATTCCACAACAAAAAATAAATTGCACACATATTTCTTTATTTTTTCCTCTTTCTTTTAACAGATACACACAGCAGAAAACAGCTGACAATACTCGAATGTATTCAATATACAACATTTAATAGCTTCTACTGCTCACTCACTCACTTCGTTTCTTTTCGGCTATATTTTTGTGCAGCCGAGAGAAACACGACTTCAGTCGCTCACTCATTCTCATTTCGTTTTGTACAAGTTTTCACTCAATTCAATGATGACTTTGTACATTTGAATGTGCTTTTTTTGCCATTCATGCAGACGTCTAATATACACCCCCATATCATCACCGATAATTTGCCAAATTTAACCGTTGGGATTATATTTTTGCTGTCAAGAGCCGTCAATGGCTTGCGCCATACCCTGGGAGGACCATCATTGTAATACTGCATCATTTTTGTTTCAGCACAAAATATTACGTCATCCTAATATTCTGTGGGGTAACAAACCATGTTAACAGTAAAAGCTAAGCGCGTTTCTATATTTGCTTTTGATAGCAGAGGCTTTTTACGCGCTACTCTCAAACTGTACTCATGGCTCATGAGGGCTTTGCGTACCGTTTCATGTGAGACATCTATGCCACATTCTTGTTTCAGCTCTTTAGCAAGACTTCTTACAGAAATATGCGGATTAGCGTTAACTTTTCTAAGAATAAGACGCTCTACTCGTCCAGAGATCTTTTTTTTCGGCCCTCCTGCCGTCTTTAAAAGCAGCCTGTTTTTTTTTCGGCCCGGTTTATGATATTATAAACGGTTCTCCTGGGCACAGAAAACAAGTCAATCAATTCTGCAACGGATTTGCCCATCTCGTGGTTATAGTAGATGAGCTGCACCATCTCATAGCTCAATCGCTTTAAAGGCATTTTAAAAAAATATCAAATGTGTGCTTAAATGCGTAACTAGCGAAAATTGACAATCAAATGGCAAGAAATGTAAAAGAAAACGTTCATGGATGCATAAAATATCAACAAATAACAGTAAAATACCGTTACTTCTAAGAACTAGAGCAAAGCAGATGTGCAAAACGCTCAGTGCCAACACATTATTGACACTGATATTTATGAGTGATCTTTGTTTTTGTTGATTTGTTTTTTACATACTGAATGTTATGTTTTCTATTTAAATTAATGAAATAATATTAAACACATTCCTATTTGAAAAAAATTGTTTTTATGCATTAATGACTTAGATATTTGCATCCAAAGTCAAAAAATTAAATTTTTTTCAGTGTGCCAGCTCATTCTTGACAGACTGTATATATACAGTCGACTCTCGTTATTTCGGAATTCAAGGGACTCTTAAAATTTTTCTAATTATCGAATGCTTGAAATATTAAATGGTTCGAAATTTTAAGAGAAAATAAATAAAAATAAAAAAAATAAAAATGTACATATGTTCTTAACTGACACCGTTGCCAAAGGTTCTGATGTATCGTCTTCATCTTCATCGATGCTCTTTTCATTCGTATCTGTCGCAGATAAAATTTCATTATCGGTTAGGGATCCTGAAATATCCACTTGAACATAGTCTTTTGCAACTTCGCTTTTCTTCTCACCTCCTTCTACTTTTCCAATTAGTTTCTTCTTTTCAGCAATCGTAAATTTTTATGCTTTTTAGAACTCATTTCATACAAAATTTTAATATGTATACTAACGAAGCGATTCGTACGGAAGCGAGCATCAAAATATGCCTATGTTTTATGCGTAACACGCAACCACGCACAGTAAAGTTAATTTCAGGGGAGTCCCAAAATTCAAATTCAAAGTTCTTACTAACACACCAAGAAACTTCACAAATTCGAATTGTCGAGTGTTTAACCATATGAGTACGAACACTAACCAGAGAACACATAGACCAGACAACTAGTGGAAAGCTGTTTGCACGCTTTTTTTGAGGCTTCAACACCCCAGACAGCTTTGGGCTCGCTCGGCTCCTTACTTTTAGGTTCGAGCTACGAAAAAATACGAACGCACAATCATTTCGCTTCATGCGCTCGACCGAGATGGTCAAATTTTGAACAAAAGATCCCTCTATGCTCAATGTTTCCCTTGCTCTCTCTCTCTCTCTCTCTCGATGCTCTCTGCTCTCTCGAATGTGTATATGTATGTATGCATGTGAGGCTCACATTGTGAGCACAAGCAGCAGCTCACGAAAATTGAAATTTCTTCGCAGCGAGAACCCATGCCTTCCCTTCTGTGTGAAGAGTATACCGAACTTTTCAAACCGTTTGCCATGCGTTTTCGTTATTATTTGTGGGAAGAGTATGAAAGCGTTGGTGCTCATAATGAAAATGTTTTTGCGACGAGCGTGCACACACACACTTACAGTATGCTATATGTACTATGAGCATTTGTATGCCTGTATGCAAAGCCCTTGCTGGCTGTAGCAATTTGAAATCCTAGCATTTGCATTTGGTCGATCTTGTGAACTGCTCACACTTACATATGTTTGATTGTGTGTACACAGGGCCGCGATGCTCACAAATGATGGGGTAATCATTGTAGAAGCATTTGAGTGCCTTTATATGTATGCGCGAAAAAATACGAAAGCACAATCATTTCGCTTCATGCGCTCGACCGATATGGTCAAATGTTGAACAAAAGATCCCTCTGTGCTCAATGTATTTTTTCCTAAAAGTAAGGAGCCGAGCGAATCCAAAGTCTGGGGTGTTAAAGCCTCAAAAAAAGCGTGCAAACAGCTTTCCACTAGTTGTCTAGTCTATGTGTTCTCTGGTTAGTGGTACGAATTACCGCGTCTTAGCAATGATTTTTTAGTTCGAGTTACTGAGTGCATAAAAATGTATGGACTTAATTCGAAATATAAAGTGATTTTGTAGGGGACTCGTGATAACTTTGAATTAATAAGTGGTTCGAAATAACGCAGGTTTGAAATAACAAGAGTCGACTGTAGTAAGAAACTAACAAAAATTTTAATACAGCTTTTTTTACCTTATTTATTAATCTTAATTTACAAAAAGAATTGGGTCTCTATGTTGCTTAGTTAAATGGTTATAACTAAAAGTTCATAGAAAGACACGTTTTTGCCTCCAATAAAGTCTTCGTACACCGTACTTTCCTAGATCTTTAACTGCGGACAGAAACCGAAAATGATAACGGTTGTTTTCCAATGTATGTATTTGCATGCTCGTGCATAATGTCGCCACATTTTGCAAGAAATTTTCTTCAATTTGAATCGCTAAGCGGACAAATATTAATTTAAAATGCCGGGCAAATATTTAACCATAGAAGAACGTCAACTAATATTAAATATGCACGTTAAGCAGCAGAAATCATATTCGGAAATTGCGAATATATTGTCTCGCAGCCGGTCAACGATCCAATCCGTAATTGTACGATTTAAATACGAAATGTGAGGAGAGAACAAGCGAAAGTCCGGGAGACCGAGCAAGCTAACAAACGCAGATCGACTAAATATTAAGAGAATAGTTGCGACGGATCCATTTGTTCGCGCAAATACGATATGTACACATATTCTACAATCTAAAAATAAAGTCGTGTACCCAGAAACTGTAAGGAATTCTAAAGCAGCTAATGGGTATAAGTCGCGCACGCCAAGACGAAAACCAAAGCTAATCGCAAAAAAGTTTGGAGCTCGCAAAATAATACGAAAATGCGCCAATCGAGTTTTGGCGTAATGTAA